TATTTAACGAGTAGTGCCGGGAGGATTTATATGTGGGGCGAGGGGAGGTGGTGGGGGGGGGGGTGCGGAAAATGATAGCTTATATAAATGTCAACGTATAAACAAGCAATAATTTTTGTTGTTGCCGAGTGCCACCGCCGCCGCCACCGCCTAAGAGTTTCCCCAGACCGCCAAAACCCTATATAAAAGGGGCCGCATGCGACCGTGGTAAATCTTTGCAGCCAACACACACGCGGTCTGAATAAAAATATCATAAAAAAGGCAAAGTGAAACCCGCACGTAGATATTATATTATGTATAAATAGGTATATATTATTTATTTATTTGTATAAAGCAAATGAAATATGCAAGATACGCTAAGGGTTCGCAACACACACACGTGTGCCGTAATCTTATATGATTGTATATCGAGTATACGTACACAAACACCACTACAAACGAACCCCCTGCCCTGTTCCCCCTTCATGCCACTGTCGTCGTCCCGGCAATATCCGTGATGTTATTTTTTTATATTTCTCCTCGCACTATACACAGCTGTACACTTAGCCAAACGCTTTTTAAGTTTGCGCGCGATGTTGGCTTTAAGGTTTTATAAACACCCCAAGTGACCCACGGAAGTTTTTATTTTTTAAAACACACCTCATAGTTATAGACAACCCCTCGTTATATCATACATGTTAATAAATGTCAATGAAAAACTTGCAAACCGAATAGAATGAATTTCACGGTCGCTTCGCACGTTTAAAGCGTACTTAACATAATTTTTGTTTTTACTCCTTAAGTTATTTTTCAAATCTACAATATAAACGTAATCGTAAGTATTTTTTAGCAATATTTCAAAATTTATAATAATAAAAACCTTTTACTTGGTTAAACGCATTATTCATAAAACTACTTGTAATTATAATACAGCGAATGTATTATAATATATAATATAAATATTCGTATTGTTATCGATGAATTTGTATGTTTGTTGATTTCGAGTATAAACTTTTGAAACCTATAAAATAATTATTCTTGCCCGATATTTAATAATATTCACATTCTTCTTCACAGATCTTCAATATCGTCAGTTATGTATTATTTACCTATTATGATAGCATAATAGAGCAAAACATGTTTGTAAAACATGAATTTGATAATAATTTGACAATTTGAAATTTGAAATGAAATTTCACAAATGATCGATAAACATGCAATAAATAATAGATAGCTATACCTAGTACTAAAGACTAGAGAAATACACAAGTACAACATAAAATTATATTTGTTTACATGGTTACTTTTTCTAATGTTATCGATTGCATATAAGGTAAAATATATGCTGCCTATACATTTATAAACATGTTACTGTAGTGAACATATTCGGACGCATATAAGATAAGTAGTCAATTAAAATCATTAACAATTGAAAATTTACAATTTTGTAATACAAACAATTATTAGTACGGACGTGCCATACCAAATTTTACGATGAAGCTGTATTGTTTACTTATGTAATGTATACGATCATAATATTAGTGTTAGCAATAACACTAATTATATTTATAAGCAACCACGCCGTTGTATACCCTCGTGTAGCATATGAAGTGTTTGTTACGCAAACCGTATAGGGGAGGGAGGGTTGCGGAGAAGAAAAAAAAACTTTTTAGATCCGGCGACGACTGTTCATTTTCTGTTTGTACATAAAATATAGCATGCCCGAGTATTTTTCAAGAACCTAATGTACTCTTGTATCGGATGACACCGATTCTTCTTGCGGGGCGGCGTGACGGTTATTCAACGGGACGTTGCGCACGTGCCCTTTGGGAAAACATTGTTTCGGCTAATTTATGGAAAAAACCCACCCCCTCCCCCTTCGGCCGACTCGCGTTTGCCGTCGATGCCGATTTTCCGATGCCACCAGACACGGAGTAGGTACCCCAGACGTGCGGCGGTACGTATCAAGTGGCTGTCGAGGCGTTCCCCGGGGAAACGGAGTGTGGAAGTTGCCTTAAACGGATTCCAACGACAAAGAGAGTCGGTACGGAAAAACGTACATGGTACATAACTAAACATGACAGTTCCTATGTTGACGGCATAATGGACACTTGAAATATAATATCGGCCAGACGACTGCGAGGCTATCAAAAACACAATTCGCTTCTCGTTAACAGACGACAAAATTAAAGAATAAATATTTATGTGCTTACAAGAAACCACAATTGGTTTCAACATCTTAAAAGATAATATTACACAATGTGTTTTTCAGAAAAAAAACTTCTCCGTCGATAGCCGTTTGAAATACGTTGAACGCAAACTGACTTAGCGGTGACAATTGTCTTTTGCAAAAATTTTATGCGACTTAAAAATAATATATAATTCATCATGCTCGACACTGGACTTTAATATTATTAATATAGGTGTTTCAATTGTACATACATTTAACTACCGGAAAATAGGTCGTGCACTATTCGAACCCTTGTTGGTCAATTATTTTTGCTTAATTGTTATAAAAACAATACTGTACGACGATAAATATTAATTGGTTTAATACCATTGCGACTACTTACGGTCTTGGGTCCGAAAATTATTATAATTATTATTATTATATTGTTCGAACCGGGCCGGGAAAATAATTAGGGACGATCCTATGCGTTACTATTATTACAATATCCGACCGTTATTATATTTATCGGCAATACAAATAAGCACATATATACATATAATATTATTGTATTTTTGTATAAGATAAAATATGCGTTTTCCTACGGAGAAAAACTGTATACGTCATAGGATGTACGATCCGTTTAATGGATTATGTTTTCCCATCATTCTGACCGACTCGCCCGCCCCGCTGTGCTCTAAAACTGGCGTTATTTATTGTTGGCAAATGTACATATATATATATATAAAAAAAAAACAAAAAGCTCTAATATTTTCGACGGATATCATTAATCACGAAATTCGTTATTATGCCGATGATAATTTTTTTCTCCTTCGCCCCTTCGATGATGATACAGCCGAAATGTATTAATATATTTTAAATGAAAACAAATGTGTGTGTGTGTGTGCATCAGCTGTATATTAACGTAGTCTTCGGAATCGACTCACACTAAACCGCTTATTTTGTAATTACATGCTACGTTCATCGTCAGCAAAACTTAACGCGCATTAACTCTACCGCTTGGAAATTCTTACATTGAAACATCATAAAGCTTTCAACCGGTTAAACATTATGAAATACTTAACTTGAGACACTCATTTTCCCTTAAAATCATTGTAATTTTGTAGTTTTTTTTTTTTTTTAGTTTTATTTATTTAGACAATATTTAAACTTTTATCTTTTGATTGGTTTTCCAAAACTCTACCAACTTTTAAAACATAAACTTCTTTTAATAAGAGTATTTTGCTGAAAATGTATACTTTTATATTTTGTTCAAAGGTAACACTAACAAACCTAACCATACGGCAAGTCGGATATCCATTATGTTTACACTCACGGATGTAGACGATGATTTTTTTTGTTGTTTTCGTGTACCCGTAAACGTATTATTCAATTGTACATGGATTTGGGCGAGGTCAACGACAGCGAAATCTCGTTTTTCCAGGGAAATAACAGCCCTCAGTTGTTTTCTTCAACCGTCCGGTCGTGCCGCACTGATTGGATTATGATACCTTTCTGGCTACTCGAAAAAAGCACACACGCGTACCATTTCGCCTTCCCCCAGCTGGGCCAAAGTCGTTTGTAACTCTACTGATGCAGTAAATGCATTTCAGAGCCGTATAAAATGGCTAATCAATTTGGTCGCGCGAACCCGCCGAAGGGTATCGTCGACAAAAAACTACGTTTTGTTGTTGGTATAGATTACAAAAAAAAAAACAACATAAATGTCTATACAGATAAAAAAGAGTACGTTTAGATTTGTTTTATACACCGTCGGCTCGCAAACGATTGCAAATTCTTATCGGCTACTTATTGGCCGACTGAAAAATAACAATAACAAAGAAAACGTTTGATTAAATTACACGACAAAAGACGAGTCGACGAGTACACGCTATTATTAAATATTTATATAGGTACAATCTGTCCCCGCAATCATATTATTTGTTTCTCTGAACAAAAAATTAAAAAAATCTAGTAGGTACACGTCCATTCGATTTTAAAATGTCGACGTTTGATTACTGCAGTATAATGGTTAATAAATAAACGATTCAGTCTTGAAGAGTTCTGTGCTTAAGGCGACATACACATATTATGTAAAGTAGGTACTTACAATAATTAAATCAACTCGAATTAACACTATTTTAAAATTATTGTAAAAACTATTAAAAAAAAAATAAAACACACATACAATATCAAATAACCGTTGACTAATCAGAACAAAAATTAATTGATACAAGTCAACTGACAAGTTATTTCTTGGATAAAATTGTAGTACTCTGTTTAATTAAATTATCGGAGTAATATCCATTAACGTTTCTTGAACAGGCATGAAACCATTTCTCCCTCTACACACTCACGTGTCTATGTTGCATACACAACACGCCTTAAAACAGATTCGTAACGTTGTGTAGTTAAACGACTCTATTAATATAAATATTGTCTATTAGGTTGATTAATTAATTAAATCGCTTTTACAGGTTTTTAAAAAATCCACTTCAATTACTTTTATCTGTTGATTTAATCGCAAGATAGTTATAGTAGTACATAATATTATATGTTATTGTCGTGTGGAATTTGCATATATTATGGTAAACACAAATACAACCACTAAATATTAAATAAAAATGAAATTGCCGAAAAAAATATTATGGTGTTAACCAATCACTTTGTTTTGTATTTTAAGAAAGTATTAAAAAACGTGAAAAAAATTATATTATTTAACATTACAACTAGATTTGTTCGTATTAGGTTTGAACACTTTTTAAAGCCAGCCTAAAGGCAAATACACAACGGCTAACGTATTATTAAATTATGCGACTTTTTGTGTGTAATGTCTAGGAAAACTGTTGCTTACCTGTAACCAAAACGGCAAGTAAAACCCAGAACTGCACAGAAAAGATGCTGCCAACGATAAAGTCGCCCAAAACATCCCGGTAACCGTTAACGTGGTTGCCATCTAAAAATTAAAAAAAACAAACAAATATCGTGTAATAAGAAATAAATTGCAATTTTTCGAATAAAAATAACAGCGTGTAAACGATGTTATCTTTAAACCATGAAAAAAAATACATGTACCAATACAAATTAATAACAAATGAGTATTATTAATTTTTTTTTTTTAATGTATTTCTTCGTAACAGTTTTAATAATAATAGAAATAATGACTGTTTGTACAGGTTCATTGTTGTGTAGCAGGTGGTTCATAATACCGGACAGCTATGCGGTAGTCGAGCGAAAAATATAGCAACTATTAATAACAATCAAGGGACGAGACCTAAGGTTCATTAAATATTTACTGGCATTTTTTTTTTTTTGAAAAAAATAAATTCAACCGACGCAAAGAAACGAGTTGGGCTTATTTTTCGGTATTATATTTCGGGTCACTTAAGCTTTTGTAATAATTTATCCCCATCAATTTCCGTAAAAAAAAAAAAAAAGTAGAAATTATTACAATATCGCGGTACGCTTTTTGTACATAAAAACAAATAGTATGGCGCACATTGTAAAGATCCAATAAACATATTAGTGTACACTGTGTTATTAATCATATTTTTATAATGTATATATACACGGGTACTACCCTTTCCGGAACGTAGGACACCGAACAATTCCTATTTTATTGACAATCCAAATATATATATATAATAACAATTATTGTCGAGCGATGCACCCACATGTGTGTATATGCTGTCCCCCGAAGACTTACGTCTTCCGGTTTGTATCATTAAAAGTTTCCGTCGCGAACAAACTTCTTTAACCAACATCATCCTATATAATACAATATGCGAACATACACGTACATTACTCAAGTGTAATGCGCACCGAGCTATTGTTAAGTTAAACTTTTACGGTAAATCAGTCAGAAACAGCGCTTCTCCTGTCGATTGGAATGGCTCAAGGGTGTACTACTACTACTACTATAACACGTTCGGAAACGGGATAACTGCCGGCACGGTGATGTGCGGTCGGTTATCTAAGACCCTAAGTGTTCGATGCTGTCGAGGCCTAAATGAAATATTATTATGCACTATAGTGTTTAGTTTGAACGCAAAACAACAACAGCATAATAGATATATCCCGCAACGGCGCAGTGGTGGCACAGAACAGATAAAAGCAGAAGGGTCAATGTAAAGTGTAAACAAAAAAGTGACGACCATTTTGTATCTATTTAGTATTATATCCATATACACAAATAAAAATAACAATGTATACATATAACATTATAGTAGTGTAGCCTTAGAAAGATGGCCGCCGCGTTTTGTGTGGTATCTGCCCCGTGTTAACTTTTATCAGTGTCCGGGGTCTGGTGAGTCTTTTCGCCAGTACTCAGGTAGGTGTTTTAGTCTCACTAATAAGCCATTTAAACTCTATAAAAACACATGTTTTCTACCACGCATACCGTGTACATTAAAGAAATAAAAAAATTGCCGGCAGGGTCGAAAAATATATTTTTATCATTTGCAGTATTCTTATATTAATTACTTTGTGATTGGTGTAAATTTTACGTTACCTTAGTTTAAATGTGAAACCCCTTGGGAAAAGACCACTAGGTAGACCAAAGCAAAGATGGATAGACAAAGTAAAAAAGACTTTAAAAGAAATTGGAATACAAGATATGGAAGCAGTAGCACAGGATAGAGACAGGTGGAAGCTAATTTGTGTTGCGGTAATGGGCCTCAATGGCCTCTGAAAAACCGAAGAAGAAGATAAAATATTTATAATTTAATGCTAAGCAAAAACTGATTTATCGAACATCACATGATAAAATATATTGTTATTGAGGATGAATATAATAATTTATCATTTTTTTCTTTTATTAATATTAATTAAATGTGTGGCTTTACCCAATGCTAGTATTTAATGAAATATCATTATTTATGAAAGTTCTAAAAAATGTAATCCTTTCTAATCGTTTAAGTATGTTAATTATTTATATTCAGATCTTAAAAAACCTCTTTGTTTGATGTTTCCACCTCAAAACCTTTACTACCTATAGGTGTTTCCCATCCCTTAAGATTTATTAATTAAAATTTCGCATAATATTATTAATTAAGAAAATCTTTATGATTTATAGAGTATGTGCACTTTTATAACAGGTAGCCGTTCTTTATTCGCATAAACTTTTTCAATTATATTTTTAATGGACGAAATTTCTGAGAAATAATTACTTACAATATCCATAATAATATGGGCTCGGAGATCTAAATCAAACCAGCGCAGTGCAATGATCTAGGACCTACTGATGTCAATAGAAAATATTGACTTGGTCCTTGTAACACATTATAACATAATATAGTATAGTAATTTTATTTTTATTTTCTCAATAACGTATATAATATTGTGTACCGTTTTATTATAATTTCACTTGGTTTCTAATTTACAGAGCAATACCATAGTTTTGGTCCGTGCTGGATAATACCATTGCGGATATTCATTTGTGCATATAACGCTCAAAGATAATAGATATGATCAACCTCATAACACATAATAAATATATTTGTACTTGTATCCGTACATCTGTACCGTACAAACGCAGGGCATCCGTTCAACGTAAGCTACTTATAATATAAGAACATGTAATACTTAATAATTTCCAATATTGTAGTTTTTTTTTGACAACACAGCTTAGTCGATGACGTTTCGTTATAATTTTATAAAAAATTGAACAACTCAACTTGCCCTTCATTAGTAGTTGGTACTCTTCAGATAGCTAATCCGATCAGAGTAACTAGTCAGCAACCACAGTTTCGAATAAATAATTCTATTTCTGCTCACTTCGCTCTAAACTAATAACTCCATTACAAGTTGTCATTTAAGATTCGAGAGCTCCGAAACGTACACGGGAAAAGTTAGATACTTATTAAATAATGAAAAGTTATATATAAAAAAATATACATCAACATTCCAATTATTATTCTATGAGAAAATCAATGTCCTACGTCGAATGTACACATCCTGTATAGATATATACTTAGGTATCGCACACCTACCCACTTATTTTCTAAATGGAAACTCGAAAACCTTATATAGTATAATATAATGAAATTTAATGTAGTGCTCTTTGGTCGGAGAATATTGCGATTGAACCCGCTTTGTATCGGTCGCGTCGGTTGAAGAGGGTCACAATCCAAGATAATTTGATGGGATTTTTATTTTTTTTAATACTCAGTTTTTCATTTCATCGGCGAAACGCTCTAATTGAGTGACAAAAAATACACACAGTATTCGCGCGGTACTCACAATTATTAAACGATACACCTACAGCTACGTTTCTTCTTCTTCTTCTCCTCCACCGTCTTCATCACAACTATTGGGGTCGTCCACTCCTGTACTAAACTCCCACTTAACACATCATCCTCGCATTCACCAGCAGTTCTCTCATATCATTCTCGATCGCATCCAACCACCTGCAATTCTTATTGCTACCGATTCCTCTCTCCTCGTGCATGCCCAAACCACCTTGGTCTGGTGTCTCTCATTTTGTCCACTATACAATCCAAACCTAACCTACCTCTTATGTATTCTTTCCTTAACCTATCTATCTCTCTCTCTATTCAATATTTGTTCCATTTTCCTGTCTACCACCCGACCCTCCGAACCATACAACATAGTCGATCCCACCACACTCTTATGCGGTAAAACTTATCTTTAAGTCTCCATTGGCATTTTCTTGTCACATAAGACAACTGACACAACTCACACCTGACTCTTCACTCTGCACTTAATCACTATAATAATATGTTTCACGTCCTCGCCAAAGCCACCGTCCTTTTCTATAAAAGTTCTTAAATACTTAAAAGCTCTCATCCGTCTAACGTTTATTTTTTCAAATAATATTTCAACAAACAGAAAAATATGCATGTTCGTGAAACTCTGCCCGGCTTGCTAGGTTATAAAAGTTCATACACTTCCGGATATGACGACGCCGCCGCTATATTCTCATAGTGCATCTGGAATGGCGCGTGATATGTTTTGTTTTTATGTGAAGTTATTAACTTAGTTCCGGGAAATGCTTTCGTATGCATTTTTTGGCGTGCTCGGAAGACAAAGACCGCGCCATGACGTTGCTAGTTCCAAAGTATATTTCAGCGTCATAACACTAGCAATAACGGTAATGCCAGTGAATTCTGGTTTTATATTTGCGAAGAGACAGCTATGCATTTGCGTCTAACGACCGTCGAAACCGTCTTATACTAAGAAAAGGGGAACGCTCCGCAATTACTAAAATTGTAACATGTAATTATTAATTATGTATACACTGTAGTGCCTGTATACACAGCTTAATGAAACACCATCTAGAGTGAGAACGGTAACCCGATCAGAGTAGCTGGTTAGCTGGCACGTTGACGCGACCTTCGAAAACAGTATATCTTTTTCAAAATAAAAATATGAAATAAAACTACCTACCTATGTATTTAAACGTTTATTAATATTGCTACAATTCCAGATGAAGTGCGCATTCAACAATAGTGTCCAAAAACTCAAAACTCAATTATCCGTACTAATTAAATGTACAGTTTATAAAAATAAATTTGTTGTTTTAGACTGATATATAATTTTGCAAGAAATTACATTTTAAAGTTATGCGGTTAATGTTTTTACCTTCATTAGCTCGTTTAAAATAATACGCTATATCTGTAACAATTAATGTTAATTAAGTTGAATCACACTTGGTACAACTTTAAAACAGTACGATATTGTGCTTATACACATACACTATATTGTGTATATACATATGTACATATAGTATACAGAATAAATATTTAAGAATTCTATTTTTTTTCTTTTTGAGTCAGAATGGTTTGGTAAAAAAAAAAATAACACGATATTTGTTTCTGTTTGACAGTGTATCTTTATGGAAAAATTGGTATGTTATTATTAGTAATATATAGTTTTACAATAAATAACTTATTTATTATGTTATTGAACTACGGCACAGAATTAAAAAGTGTAGGG